ATTTTGAAGTTGAGTACAATAAATTTCTTTGATATTTAAATCTGAAATGGCTGGTTGCTGTTATTTTAATTTCTTTTTATAGGGGGCTAGTATAAAAAAGCCCTCGTATTAAAAAAACTATATAATAAATATACTATAATAAATGACAGGTAAATAAGTTACTCATCATTTATCTGGACTTTAAATGATGGGTAACTTATTTACCCATCATTTAAAGTATTTTTTAAATGATGGATAAGTATTTTACTCATCATTTATTTTGGATTTAAATGACGGGTAGTTTATTTACCCATCATTTATATTCTCATATGGCTTGAGTTTCTGTAAAAATTTTATTTTAAATGACGATTTTATAACCGTTATTTATTGATAGACTTTAAATGTCAGCCATATAAATGACGTGTATTAATCATCATTTATGGACTAAAAGAACCATCATTTATTCTTTTTTGTTGTAGTAGTAATTGTAGTATTTAAATTTATTGTGTGAGATCTCAAAGTAATCATCCCAATAGTTTTGGTAAATTATGGAAAATGCAAAATGCTTTGCATCCACCTATATTTTCTTTTAAAATGTGTGGGCTACTTTTTTTTTTTAGGTTTTCATAATAAAAAATTTAGGTGAGTTGAGTTTTTGAGACTCACCAAGCTACTTGTTATTTTTATTTCATTGTCATGTAATATTCAATGCAAGAGAGAAATATAAAAATGATTGTTAGTACTTTAATAAATCATATATATGAATTGGAAGGTGGAAATGATCAACAATATTATAAGAACAAATGATAAAAAAAATCCTCCTAAAATATGCAAATGATAATAAGGACCTGCGAAATATGATAATTTTTTTCAAATACCTTGGGACCCTTCTGACATTAATGTCTTTCATGAAATGACTGTAATGCTCCCAAGCGTTATAAATATTAATGATTACTTTAATTTAAATAATGATTACTTTTTTTTTTCTTGAAAATGATTAAAATGAGATGACAAATGATAAGTTCCACTTTACAAATTTTTTAATCATTGAAATCCAAGTGTTGTAAAAAACAGTGATTATTTTAATTTAAGTAATGATTACTTTTTTTATAATGAAAAATGATAGGTAACTAATACTTCTCCTTGCAATTTTTTAAGGGATAATTGCTAAAAAATTCCTTATCACCAAATTTATTGTGCTAAAGGACTTGAAATTTGTTTAAGAACTCAAGTCCTTTAGAAGAATAGAGATTGATATTTACATTACCAAAATGCCCCCACCACAATCACACAGGCTTCTTCCTCTGTAGCCTCAACATTGCATATAGTTCTTCCTCTTCCTTCGCCGTCTCCTGTGAGACCTTACACATGGCTATGGTGCTTCAAGCTATGTCTCATTCTTCCTCACTTCCCTCTTTTTTTTCGTATTCTTCTCATTACCCTACCCCTAAATCCCTCCAAATCTTCACTTTTTATTTTGATTCATCCTTATAAGATGTTTGTTAAGATAGGCTAGCATCTAAGAGGGGGGTGAATTGGGTGACACTTAAAAAATTTTTAAAACTTAAAAGAGTGAAAAACTTTAGTATAAAGAAAGAAGATGAAACACACAAGATTTAAGTTGGTTCAGCCCCAAACTTGGCCTACATTCAATTCTCAAAATTACACTTGAGATTTACAACTAAATTCACAAGTTTCAATGGGTGTTTGCCACCATAGTATAACTCACAAGACTTAACTTGTCTTAAATCAATCAACAAACCTTACTACAATCCAGCAAAATGATACAAACACCTGAAAAATACCTTTTCAAGATTTTTAAGGAATGAAATAAACTTTCACACAAAACTCTGTTAAAGAGTAGATAAAAATACAATTAAAAGCTTATAAACTTATGAGAGCTTTTTCACAATTCTTTTAAAGAATAATGAATGAATGCAAAATGTTAAAGTATAATTTGAAAGCTTTTCAAATGCTCAAATAAAGATTAGTTCGCTCAAAGATCATTTATTCTAGCTTAAGCTCAAAATGAATTACATATATAGTTTTGGTAATTGATAGATTGTTGGAATAGTATTTCTATTTGTTGGTGCAATTTCTAGCAAGTAATTTACTAAATGATGCATGAAATTGCGTTTGGCATGTTCTAGATATATATGTGTGATGAATCACATGTGGTTCTGCATCTATAAATTTGCATTTAGTTGTATGTGCTAGATCTTACAAGTGAACCATTAGCTCTCATGCGTAGTTTAGCATATGTGAAACTATTATTAGTTCTATGTGATAGAACTCACGTGGAACCTCTTTACTTTCATGCATAAAATGGTTGGCAGAATGCCAAAGCCAATGCTTATGAACAAAACTCGTGTGGAAGCAGAAGGCTATCATGCGTGAAATAACTATATCCAGACTTAGTCTATTTGGGAAGACAAATCACACATGGATCACATATTCACTCACACATGAAATAGCAGGCAATAAGGTACAAACTAGTTTGAGGTTCATTTTCACTTGTGGAACGCATATGACTCAAGTAAGATTTTGCATTATCAATAGATATGGATTTGTGAATCACGGATAGAACTAGTGAACAAATTGAACTTGGCTTGATATGACTTAAGACTCAACATAGCAATATGTGATTGTGTAACAAGTAACAAATCATGCATGGCTACCATCAGATCTCACATGTGAAATAGTAGTTGACACAATGTAATGAAGCACAATTGCTAAAACTTGCATAGATCAAAATGCCTCTCATAGGTGATTTTGCATACAGAAGCAAGGCTTAAGGCATCACATAACACAAGTGACAAATCATGTATGAATCACTTTCTAACTCTTGCATGATCTATTAGTCAGTGTGCCTTAACGTGCTGATTCTTGTGAGCACCCATTAGAATCACACATGATTCTACAGCCTTCACAGAATTCAGCAACAATGATTTTTAACACCTTAAAAAGACATTACTTGCAAGCTTTAATACACTTAGATGAGTCTTAATGCATATAAATGAGACAAATGATGCATTCATTTCAATGATTATAAGTTTCAATGATTATAAAAAGTGATTAAGCTCTTAAAGTTTTCACATTGAATCTAAGATAATTTAAATAACTTATCCTAAAGAACTTCATCTTCTCTTGATTCTTCATGCTCTTGAGGTTTTATCTTCATTCATGATTCTCTATTTCTACACACATAAAAAATACCTCTTCTTTTAGTTTTGTAATCATCAAAACATATGATCCAACAATGTTATCAATGGTGATGTTTTTAAAGCTAGCAGCAAAAGCAAAGACATTGATTTAATTTTTATTCTTCCTGCTCAACTCCACTTCCTTCCTATATTGTGGCACTTTGATTCGATTGGTGCTCTCTTGTTGTCGATGATTGTGCGCTAAGATCATCTCGATTACAAGAGAGTGAGGAATAGGCAAGTGGTGTTAGAATATTGGCCTTATAGAGGCACCATCACCCTCTATTGATGTGGAGTTTCCTTCAAGTTGAGCTTTCTTCATATTCAAATCAAACAAGGTTGCACTACTTCTATTTGGTGTATCTTTATATTTAATTATTTGGATAACATTCTTGTTTGTTTGGTGTATTTGTAATTTGGTAGGCTATCTTGATTATGCACATTCCTTCTCACTTTTGAAATTTTAACATTCATGATGCTTCATGCATTTATTGAAGAGTCTTGCATTTGGTAGAAGAAATATTGCACCTCATTAAAGACCCTCTACACCCATCCAAAAATGCAATCTCGTGGTAGACTTTTGGACCTAACAGGAGATTACTTGTGTTAATGGAAAAATTATGCATATAAGGGGAGAAAATTACATATGGCTAAAGACCATGTGCATATACAAAAGAATGTTGCATTTCATTGAATATGCTTACATCTCGTGAAAGAAATGTTACATATCATTTTTGCACCCATCCAAAAATGCAACTCCATGATAGGCTTACACGAGTTGCAACATATTTTCCATAAGGTGCAACACATCTTCCATGAAGGGCATGCACAAAGTCTTTAGACATATGCAAATTCTTTCCATTAGATGCAATAGTCTCCCATAACGTGCAAATATCTTCCACAAATGCAACATATCTTCCATGAGATGCAATAATATGCAATGAAGGGTAATCTAATAGCATGTGTAAGTTACCTTCCATGATATGCAACTTGTCTTTCATCCAATGCAAAAGTCTTCCATTAGTGCAAATGAACAATTTTCATTTTTTTTAAGACCCTAGGGACAATTTCATTATATAGCTTCATGAAAATTTTCCATTTTTTATTTTAACTCAATAAGGTCAATCTAGTCATTTTACAATTTCATGAAAAATTTTCATTATTTTTTTAAATTCAATAGGTCAATTTGATCATTTTATACTTAAACTATATTTCTCTAGGGGACGTAGTCTCTAAAAAATTCAAGGTCCTTTATAGCAATAGATTTCTTGACAAGGGACTTTTGGACATTTTCCTCCTTTTGGATAATTTATGTAAATATTAGTCCTTATTTCAATGTGAGTAATGACAACTTTTTTCTTTCTATCAATTAATGAATAAAATAATGTAGCAAATAACAAGTTCTGTTTTACAAAATTTTCTGTCATTGACTCACTTTTTTTTATTATTTTAAATTAAGGGTATTATAATCACTTTATAAAAAACATTAATGTTACAAAAATCTTCAAAAACTTAAAAAAATTATCATATTTCAGCATAATTTCATGGTTATTTTCATATTTAGCAAGGATTTTTCTTTCATTTTCTGTTTATTTCAATGACGTGTTGTAATCAATAGGTTTTCGAAATATTCATTTGAGAAACAGGAAATCGCCTTCTATGAATTGTAAATCCCATCCTAGTCATCTTGACAAATTCTTGATTTCCAAATCATTAAAAACTTGGAAATAAGACCAAATTACAAAATGGAACTCGTGAGAACTAGATACATGAATACAGATTCAAAGAAGAAGTGAAAAGATTTGAAGAATCTCCACATTACGAAGACAAAGCCTGAGAAGATGAAACAACACGCAATTGTTCTTCTTCTTCTTCTTCATTCCCGGAAAAACCTTCCTTAATGTCTTTCATTACCGCATGAACCAATGCAAATCCTAACCCCACAGAGAAGCCTACTATCACATTATTCGTTACATTAGTAAGAAAAAGCATTCCGATCGTGACGAACAGCAAAGACGAAGCCACGAATCGCTCGTCTATCTCGTAGCCGAAAAGCATCAAAGGGTCGTCTCTGAGGAAATACAAGAAGAGCCAAGCAGCCATCATGAGAATCAATGTAATGAGTGAGATTGGGTGCCACAGCAAACTGAGGAAGAGGATGATGAGAATGATAATCACGTAATTAGCGCGAAACAAATCGGAATTCGCATTGATTCTTTGAAATGATTGGAAAACAGAGGAAGGGAATCTGAAATCAGAGAATTGGAACATTTCATTCCATGGTCTTCTTGTTCCAAGACCTTTCTGGATTCGTTCTTTAGCCCTTGAAACTAACGCTCGTTTTGAGGGTTCTGATGATGATGATGATGGGATTGTTCCATAAGTGGTCATTTTTCTTTTCCTTTGTTATTCTGCAAAATCTCAATTCAATGGACCTTTGATTCACAGAAATAGAAAGAAATTGAAGTCTTCCTATGAGAATTTTGGGATCCGCCATTGATGCTCATCACTTCTAACAAACATGAGTGTATATCAACTTTTGTTCCATTGTAGCCTTTCATTTCTATTTGAAATAATATTTTTCGTTCATTTAAGTGGATTTTTAAATATTTTTTATAATGCATATATTGAATAAAAATTTATAAAAATTTAATATTAAATTTGAGCAATGCAAATTTTATTAGGGATTATAAAATTATTTAATGTTAATTATTTTTATAAGATTTGGATTGTTCAAATTTAATATTAATTTTTTTAAAATTTTAATAAATTTTTATTTTAATAAATAAAATATTAAAAATATATAAAAAATTAATTCAAATGAACGGTTGAAATTATTTTAAATTAAAATAAAAAGTCAAGACAAGCCAAAAGCTGATGAACAAAAATGATGAGGATGGAATGTGGTTTTAGAATTCTGTGTTGCCATTCGAGCCATGATATGTCAAAGGTGATGTTGTATAGCTTCCCCAACAAACCCAATAGTTGCGGATCTCTCTGTTTGTATTTGAAGAGAGCAATATCACGTTCTTAAGAAAGAGCTGTATCATGCATGTCTTCACGTGTCATTATTGCATGACTCAAATTTTATTTTTGAGCTGGTAATTCGAACATATCAGGATTAATTCAAGTTCTGTTTACTCAAATTTAGTTCAAAATATTTAAATATATAAAAATCCCATATAGCATAGCTCAGCATTAATCCTTTAAACTTTCGGACTGGCCTGGGTGTTAAATATTCCTTTTAATCCTATTTATAAGACACATTTTAAAAATGATTTTTGATATAAAATATAAGACATTTTATAATAATTAAACTATTTTTTTCAATTTTACCCTTTCTTGATTAGTGTAAAGATATTTAATATAGTTATATTGTTATTTAAAATTAAGAGCAAAAATGAAAGTACATATCACTTCTTTATGATATTAAGAAAAAAAATTAACTTTTCTTAAGATGTATAAAACGGTTGAAAGTGTCATATAATAATGATCGAAAGGAGTATTATTTTATTTTATTTTTATTTTTATCTAAGTTCAACTTTTATTTTTTAAAAAATTAATATTTTCAATTTTATTTTATTTTAATATTATTTTATTAATAATTAAAAAAATTTGTGTATTCAAGTTTGGCTCGAATTTCTTTGAGTTTATTTGAACAGCTTGAAATAAAGAAATTCTTTTAAACTTTTAAGCTCGATCTTAAAATTTTTTAAGCTTATTTGAGTTAACATGAATTACTACCTCTACTCTTTCAAATTATGTCTTTTTCCTTTTTTTTTCCTTTTTTCTTTTTTTGAGATTATGTATTAAAAGTTAAAACGATGACAAAGTTAAGGGGCCCTTAGAACAAAACCTGAGAGCCCAACTTACGAGTGTGGCATACAAAAACCTAAAACAAACAAAGGCAACCCAAGAAAGAAAATACAGGCCGACCTATTTTGTTGAACAGAAGACTTGAGATTGATAGACTTTGTCATACATGGTCTCATACAATTTGCCGTGTATTTTTGCATGCAGACTGGAGACTGAGAAACACACCATCGTAATATAAAACCCGGAAACTTTTTTGGAAAGCACTGCCAGCGAGAAAGTTGTTGTTGATTTCTTATATCATATATCTAGCAATTCAATCATAAGTAATTTATACATTAATTTTATTTGTCAGATTTTAAACATAGACAATGTTACTTGTGTGCTCTGGTAATTACTTTTTCCCAAGTATGTTCTCACTTTCACCAAAATCATATAGTTCCCTGCATAAAACCGAAACACACTATCAGGGATTGAGTCTAATTAAAAAAACTATCCCTTATAAGTTAGCAAATCAAAATTTGAATTCTTGTTAGAAAAGATATCCATGCTTAATATTTGACGGTATTTAAAAAAGGATTACTTCTAATAGAAGGCAATAATGAATCCAAAAACACATATATGGGAGCAAAATTGAAAACCATCAAAAATATAGGGGCAAAGCTAATTTTATATTTTTTACAAACCAAATTAAAAATTACTCCAAAGAAGGAACTGTGAAACTGGGGGCAAGGGGGAAGCACCTCTACATAACTTTTGGTAGTATCAAGTATTAAAAAAAAAAACAAAAGTATCAAATGGTGTTATTAATTTTTTTACTGGTTGTTCACCTTTCGCTAACAGTAAAAAGAAAGATCCAACAATAACACCTTAAATCATCAATTAAAAGTGAAAACATGCCCAAGAACGCGAATATATATATATATATATATATATATATTATAACTGCATGTTGTACTCTCTACATCTCCCATTTGTCAGATCCAGTGGCAACCAAGAAAACACATTGTGATCTCATAACTCTACCATACTATTTTGCATGTCAGATTCAGCAGAACTGAAGAATTAAGCCAGGGCAAGTAGTATTGAGCTTAGCTTACAGTTTAATAATACAATTTAAAATAACTACCAAAAAAAAAAAACCCCCCAAAGCTCACTAGTTTTCAACCATGTGGATTACAATCAACTCATCAATGAAAAAAAGAATGGAGTGGGGTAAATATACAGAATATATAGCAAATATATCTTTCCCGACTTAAGTGTATGTTTGGTACACCAAAAAGTATTTTCTAAAAAGGAAAAAGGAAAATGTATCTAGAAAGAAAATGGAACAGCTGTATTATTTCCCTTTTTCTTTCTGGAAAATACTTTTCTACTTACCAAACAATGCACAAGTTTCTCAGGGCGCAATTTTTTCAGGGGTTTCTCTTTGTGCAACAACAAACAGGTTACAAAATTCACTGCAATTCGTTGATGATTCTATTCTTTCGCAGATTCAGCAGATATATCCTTAGGAGCAAAGGAAGGTTCAAGTTTCAGATCACCAATTCCTTTAGGTGGACCAATGCTGCATCGAGCTGTGTTATGTGTCTTAATGGCATCCTTTAGTTTTTGAAACTGAAAATTGCAAAAGAACCAGAAGCTGATTATATCCAATTAAAAGACATGGCTTGTTACATTCCGAGTAATTAAGTTATACATTTGTAACATATCAAACCACTATTAAACGTCAATAATCAGCATCACAAATCTATCCCACCATTTGGCATCTGAGCTACCCATATAGCACAAATATGTGTGTGTGTGTAATCAAAGGTGAGTATGGTCATTAACTAGAAAAAGGTATAAGCATACAAGCAATCATATGTTTTCATGCGTTCTCTTATCCCCTTTTCTTAGTTCAGCCAGCCAAGCCATTGAGAGAGATTATGATAGAGACTTGGTAAGTATGGGGATACCAAGTCCCACATTAAGTAGTATGGGATACTTGATGAGGTATTTAAGCAGGTTGATTTTTTCACCTCAACAACTAACTTTTGGGATAGAGTTCCCCATCCTACTTAGGTACCCATTAAATGATATTAAAGCCAGGTTATTGATGGAGACCTGTTAAGTATACCAAGTCCCACATTAAATAATATAGGATGCTCAATGAGGTATTTTAGTGTGTTGGTTTTCCCATCTCAACAACTAGCTTTTGAGATAGAGTTTTCCATCCCACTTGGGTAACCCTCAGATTCTTACTAGTTATTCTTTTCAGATTTCAAACTTTCAGTCTCTAGTTCGCTAAAAAGAAAAACTTCAGTCCCTAGTGATCAATGCAGAGTGCAAAATTGCAGTAATAACCAATATGCACCGTTTCCTATTCTCTTTGCGAATAAGAGAGATTTGGGAAAACAAGTCGGTGAAAATATTGAACTACAGTCTATCTTATTTATAATCATATACACAAGACAAAGGAATAATGAGAAATAATGACAAAAGATACATATTAATCTGACTAACAAGAGTCTAGTAAGCCCTAATATCATACAATAAATACAAGATATATTTTGATTCTCAACACTCTCCAACTAATATAATATTTTCTGGTAAGGAAAGATAAGTCTCAATATAGTTACCGTAGGATGCCAAAATAACTATCTACTCATTCTAAAGGGATATGAATGGATAATAATTAGGGGTCCAGCCCACGAGCCAATAATTGCTGCTCATTGTTTAGATTAAAGATAAATTGATGAGCATAAGCAGAACCAAATACCAGAATTTTCATTTTCATAGTTTTCTTCGCATGATGTTTCCGTCCAAAATTTTTCTAATTTTCTAATGACATTTTTCTGAATTGCCGCCCTTTTTTAGCAATTATTTGGCCTTTTAAGGGTTTTCTACATAGGATAACAGAGTTTGCACTCTTAATTCTCCTGTTGTGTATTCTTTCAAATCTATTCACTTTTTCAGTTTAGATACTCAATCTCCTATCATAGAAATTTCCTCCTTGATAAGCTCCTTTGAAAATCCAAAGCTACCTAGAAGTATTCTATTTGAACAGCAGGTCTTTTCACCAAAAAAAAAAAAATCGGGGAGGGGTGTGTGCTTCCATTGCTACGTTGCAGTTTCTAAGGCCAGAAAAAGCTCTTTCCCTCAGATAAGCGTGATGAATTGTTTGGGAAGTTTACTAGTTATTTTACAGTGTTCAATAGCCATCACTATATGGAATAAACTGATTACTGTCTTTAGTACTCCCTCCATTTCCAAATATAAGAGAAACTACCAAGTGCCTCTTTGTTTTTATTTATCAGCAAAACTACAAATTTCAAGAAGTTTAAGCCAGCTTATATTGCAATCATTCTAGGTCATAGTACTTTATCTTATAGATTATGTATGTTACAAAGGGATATTGGAAGTATGCTTCAAATATACCCTCAGATATTTGTATCTGTTTCTTAACTTTAATATATATTTTGCTTTATACAAAAAAAAAAAAACAAATTTCAAGAAGTATTTATCTCATTTTTCCCAAATTGTCTCTCATAAAGTCAATGTTTATTTTTACTGGACAAATTTTTTTCATTAGTAACAGGACTAATTTAGTCCAAATTTTTTAATTTAGATATAATTATTATACTAAACAAACTTTTTTGAGCTGTGTGAATTGGTTATTTTCTCCTATATTTGGAAACAGAGCGAGTACATCTTGGACCAGTCATTTTGGTTCACAGCACTTCCAATTGACAAGAACAGTTGTAGAAATTCTCATATCTTTTAAGAATGCTTCTTAATCCTCCGTAGAGTTGTTATTTTCCCAGGAAAGAAACAGTATTACACCAATGAGCTAAACTTATCTGCCTCTTACACTTCCCCCCCTTTCAAATCTTCAATAGTATTTCTTCTATTATTAAAAAGAAAGGTCCGCTAGCATTACCTTGGCAAGTGAACATGAAAACGACTCCAGCTGCCCATCAGCCCCTCGATAAAAGTGGAAGTAAGGAAGTACTTTCACATTCATACTTTTACACATTGGCTTATTCTCATCAAAATTTACTTTTAGGAAGACAATCTCAGGATGATCTTCAGCTGTTCTGCAGAGCTGCCAGATCCATTAAAAAAAGGTATCAACTATCAAGATCCAGACATTTAAGTGACCTAACAAGATTTAAGGAGCAGGCAAATAAACATCAAAGCTGATTAGTCAATAACTGAGACAACACAAGAAACATTTAAGTGAGGAGTTATCTTCTCTTAAAGTAGTCTCTAGTCGTAAATGAGAAAAAGAACAGGTCAGAGGCTTCATATGGGAACTCAATGAATCTCCATGAGATAACATCTTCAATAAATGCAAGATATGATTCGAAGACTTCTACTTGCCACGATTTATACTTGCAGGAGAGTACCAGTCCTGATATCCAGGTATACCTCTATGACAAACACAAAATTTTGATTTTTGAAATTTGACTTGAACATTCTCTTATATCTGTTACAAGTCCCTTTTCCTGAGAAACAATTTTTCACATATGGGAAAAGATCTAAGGAAGTGACCTAGATCAGTATCAAAATCACAATGAGAACATTTAAGGTATACAAACAGGATGTATCAACAAAGATGCCAAAATCAGCATGAACTCTATAATCTTAATCTTTTTTATCTATGCTGATGAAAATATTACACTTAAAAGTGTGGAATGAATTGCTAAGCATCCTTGTCACTAGGAGTCTAGGATTCATCCACAAAACTTGGGATTTCAGTCACTACTTTTTTAGATGATCAGGAGTATCGGGGATTTCAGTCACTACTTTTTTAGATGATCAGGAGTATCAGATGGATGATAATTAATTCATTTACTTTCTTTAAAACAAGTTATCAACAAAGTTGCAAATAAGAGTAAATATTACACAATAATGAAATAAATAACTTTTCTCCAGAATGTTATAACGATAGGAGCGGAATTAGTACCTTGGGGTATAATGCTCGACAAGATGCACACCAAGTGCCATAAAATTCAACAATGACTAATCTATCTCCAGCTTGACCTAAAGCATCCAAAAATTCTTGAGTGGAGTGAATGTCAATCATATTTGGTGCATTCTTTTCCCACCATTTTGGCTGATCAGTTTCTGCAACAGTTGCATATACCTGAAGTGAAGTGTGTAACAAACAACAAAAGAAGCTGTTAGAAATGGACATTGGACTTAAAGTAACTCATAGATTTGACAAAAAAATTCTAGGGGAAAAAAAATTTAAACTGACAAATTATAAAACCTAATCAAAGCTTTAAACTACATCCAGTTGTTTATTACAGACAGGAGTTTTTTATGAACTGGCTTCCCAAATAATGAACTTACTTTCATTTGTCTACACTAGCAAAAGGGTTCCTCAGTAATATTATCCAAAACAATCAACTTACATCACTTATCATCAATTTACAAGTTTAAATGCTTTAACAATCCATTTCAACGGGTCTCCTTCATGAGGACAACTAAATAGCATGGATGAAACATGTCCAGATAAACCTCAATGGAAAGATATACAATGCCTTAACCAACAAAGGTTGGTCCAGATGGTAAAGATGGAAATGAATTTTGCAGCCACTTGTGCCACAGATGAATTAAGAATGACTATGGCGCAATCTACTTCAACTTGCCATATAGTTCAGAGGTGATCTCGATAGACTATTAATATCCGACCAAGAGAGCACATAAAAGCATACAACAGCCCATACAAACCATACCTCAGGAACTGTTTCGAAAATTATACAGCAAAGACTCTGACTAATACCTGAATCTAAATCAAAATGTCACCTAACCATCCAATAATTTAAAGTAATATTCCCTCCCCACTAATTAAATCGTCGACTCAATATATTAAACACCTGCTACGCTTAATTCTGATAATAACCATCCAAATGCACAAATGATTCAAAGGGTTTAAGTCACAATACACAACCATAATTGTAGCTCTAATGCTGCGCTGTGGTGGGTTACACAGCCACATTTGCAGTTCCCAATGACAGCATAATCCTACATCTTCATTACAATCACTGCAACCCCAAATTGGTACGTGATTCAAATACTTCTGGCAACATCTATCAGGTTCTTTAATGTTCGAGTCTGATTCATCAGTCTTCAGAAATATAAGAAACATGCAAGGTCTTAATTTTATAGCTTGGCTAGCCAGACTGGATGAAAAAATGTAGCAAACACTCAATTAATGCTGAAATATTTTTAAGTCAATAGAAGCTTACTCATCTGTTAACCAAAAAACCATATGTCACACCAAAATCGAAAATTGGTCGCCCTAACTTCAATCAGTGCGACAAAGGTAACACTCTGCACAAGCCACGCCCACGCGTCAAACGAGATGGGCGAATGCGTGCTTAGACAATATTTTAACGCAAAAGGAAATCATTAAACTACATGATTCCAAGAATTCCTCCGTTTTGGGGATAGATGAATTATAAAATATAAATTGAGAATCCAAAGAGAAGGGTAATTTTTAAAAAGAAAAGAAAAGAAAAAGTCACCTTGAAGGAGAGCAAACGCTTTGTTGTGGGAGTAAAAGCAAGTGAGGCAAGACCAGCAGCGATAGAAGAATACGAAAGAGGGAAAACCCTCTTAGTTGAGTAGCGAGGAGGTGGTAAATTTCTGAAAGAGGAAGGTAAGGAAGGAAGGAGAGAAGGGAATCGAAGTGGCTGATACTGTAATCGAATAACATCAGCCATTGACAGAGAGGACAAGAAGGAAGAAGATCAAAAGACTGAATTCACATGAGAAGGAAGAAGGCCAGGGTCAAAGGCAAAAGAAACGAGAAGAAGACTGAGGATTGAATTTGATGTTCATGGTAAATTCGAGAATCAGGAAGGAGGGAGGGCTGGGCGTTAGAAATTGTGGAACCAATCAACTGTGGCTGTGAGGAGAGGATAGAAAGACATTACGATTATGTCATAAAGTAGTTAATTTCTTCACGTTGGTTTTCCGTCTTCTTCATGTACCGCCTCGCATTTATTGCTATAAATAAGTAATATCCCAGGGATTTAAAAACCAAAATTAACTTTTACGTAAGTGTATGATGTTATATGGTATATATTGTACGTAACACAAAAAAAAAAAGAAAATTACACTAATTACGATTCAAAAATAGCGTGAATAAGATTTTTAAATCATAAATTATAAATAATTAAAATCATGAAAAAATATATTTTAAAATGTTAAAGGATATTTTTATCCTTCAATAATTTATGAATGAGTATTTCATATTCTAAATTCTTATAAGCAGTGCAATGTCGCCTTCAAACATTTAAAAATATTACATTTTTACCCTTATGTTAATTGAAGTTAATTTTAATACTTTTTTTATTTATAGATATTTTTTTATTGGAGCTAATCTTGTTTGAAGCATTGTTAAGACTTAATGCGATACCTCTCCCAATAAGAATATTCACCATATTATATGGAACTAGCTTCTTCTACTTCTTCTCCTAGAGTTAACTCCCATTGATATGAAATAATGTTCTTTGATTGACAATATATACATGGTACTCCACATGACACTAAACTTTCCACCTCATCATTTGTATTGCTTTTCTCCTTATTTGCATTAACCATTGGTTTGAAGGGGGAGAAAAATATGGGGAAAGAAAAACTATGAGAGAAAGCTTCTAAAAATTAAAAAATAATTTACTATTTTTGAAAATTTTTCTTCCTATTGACGAAATCTAACAAGGAGCCATAATTGATCTTGTGTGAAGGTCTAGGGTTTCAGGGAAGGTAATGGTGTGGGTGAGTGTTAGAATGAGAGAGGTGAGTGTACAGTATAGACACAGGAGAAGAGAAGAAAGGTCGAAGAGGTGGCATTAGGTGAAAGTGTTTAAACGGAGGCAACATTAGGATTGAAGATTCAAAGCATTTGTAGTTTTATGAAGTTTGAGAGGAGCATTAGATGAGTTCACAGACATGAAATTGCTAAAGATTCGAGCAAAATGGAACTTAACCTATTTAAAGGCACATGGATATGAATGTGGGATCTAGTTTGAGTGTCATGTGGATTGTAAGTCCCTTCACCCGCCATGCTGCTGCTACCATTATTATTTGTGTCACTACTGCCACCACTATCATTTATATAGCTGCCACCTCTATTTATGCCTATACTACCACCATCTTACTATATGCATCCAGCTTCGATACAAATGATGCCTTCAAACATGTCCAATGAATACATTTGGATATTTTAGAAATTTGGGATGTATATGTTTGATGCATTATATTAGGGGTTGTTGTGGCTTTTTTTTTTTTTTTTTTGTATAAGTACAAAATCCCTTTCTTCCAACACATGCATGCACACATGCACACATGCACGCACATATGTATGCATGATCTTACCTGAATATGTGCAAAAGTAATTTTCCATGACTGAATTTATAGTTTCATTTTCTATTTCTTCAAATGTGGTATTATTTAAAAGGAAAAAAAATGAACAGTCCCCTTTTATTCTTAGATAAATCTAAATAATTACAACAATATTAATATGAAAAAAAAAAATCAAATCTTCTGACCAAACTAAACCATCCTAATGGGGGAGGTTAAACTTCTCATGTAGCAAACTCTCATTCTTGCATGAATGAGAATAGGCTCTTCGGTGAATTGAGAGACACAAGTGATGATGTACCTCTCTCGAAGGTTATTTCACGCATCAGCTAGTGGTGCTTGCATGAATGAGATGAATAGCCTTTTTTAGTAGCTATTTCACGTGTGGGTTGGTCTTGATTCACCCGTGAACTAGGTGGACAAGTTCTAAGACATGAAATTTAGGACCTTTAAATGATGGATTCATGTGCATGAGGCTTTATAAGTCGATCGCTTGAGTTTTTCAAAGGGTTGGTATTGATTACGTGTGACAACACCTTGCATGAAATGAATTAGCTCAACTCACGAAGCTACTAGAACACTCATTCTCATGTGCATGTCTTCCAATTCAGGCGTGAAAGAGAAGGATAGAGTCTAAAGCATTTCTATAGTTTGGATCACGCATCAATTACCTAATTAATTCTTACTATAGACATTAAGCTCTAGGAAATGCATGCTAACATATTTTCTAAGATATATTCAAGACCCTAAAGCCTATAACTTGTCTCTACGATGGTTTCCACCATATTCATGTAAAAACAAGCTTTCAAAATTGATTTTTAACATAGATTCTAAGAGAAAATAAAAAAAAATAAAGGGTTAAAGTTCAATTTTGCTCCTATACTTATTTTTTAGGAGTGTTGAACACTCTATACTCTTAAGAGGGGTAATTTTAATCTTAAACTATTCTTTTGAGGAGCAAAAAATCCCTCCGTTAATGAACCGTTAACTTTGCCATTATATGTTGATGTGACATATGCATGGGGCCCACACACAATGATATGTAAAACTTTGATAATGTTCTTTGATGATAATTTACCCCTAAATTTTTTTTTAAAACATTGAGCATGCTAAAGTCTTTTTCTAGGAGCATTAAGCACCTTGAAGTCTTGTTAAAATAAAATGTAATAAATATTATTAAAATACTAAGTATTTTAATATTTAATAATTTAAATATTGAGGGGCTAATAGGCAGTTGGAGTTGTTTTCTATTTTGTTAGTAGGATCTAATTTTTGAGTTTTTTTTATTTTTTTTTAAATTTTTTAAACCTTTTTTAATATTATGTTTAAAACTGTTTGATTTTTTGAAAACCGCTCCAGTTTTCAATTTATGTAACATCCTAAAAATTAATCAAAGGTTAATTAAGTTAATTTAGAGCAAATAAGTAATTTTGAAGGAATATTTAGATATAAATAATTTTAGTTAGAAGATTATTATTGAATTTAATTTAAATTAAATTCTAAGTTATGATTTTATAGAAAATAGAAATAGTAATAATAATATTATAAAAAAGAAGAAAGAAAGAAGAAGGAAAAGGAACATAAAAAAAATTAAAGAGATGTGAAGTAATTTTTGCTTTTGTGTGTGTGTTGATGTGCAAAAAGCAAAGGAAGGAACGGATTTGTGCATGCACAAATTTAAGAAAACAAAAGAGAGAGAAAGAGAGAGAGAGAGAGAAAGGCGTGAATTTGACATGGGACCCACTCTTTATTTTAACAGACTTCTCTTGCCCTTTTCATTTCTCTTCCCTTTTCTTTATTTCTTCTTCCGTGCACAGAGAGCGAGTGACACCACGACTGGAGCTAATTTAGAAGGTGAAACTCTATAATAGGATACTTCAAATGAGATTTTAAGTATTCTAAAACTAGATAAGTGTTTAAATATATTTTTTAGTCATTTTTCCCCTTGAGATTGCAAATTTTGAGATTTTGAAAAATCTAGGGTTTGAAAGAGAGATGAATTTTTTATGAGTAAATTTGGTTATTAAGATTTTGGTAGTGTAATAAATATTCTATAATATTATTTTGTTGATAGAATTGAAATTTGAGGCTTTTGAGTTTATCCCTAAATTTCTGTGGGTAGATTTTTGATTAAATTTGAAAATATGAATTAATTTGTTAATATTTAGATATTATTTGAGATGAAAAATAAATTATTATGACTATAGAATAATAATTCTAGGCTTGAAATTAAGTTTGTAATTTTTGGATATTTTTATGTGCAAATTTTTGAAATAAAAGGGAAATTTTGATATTAGAAAATTATTTAAATTATTTTTTTAGCCAAACTTCAATGAAATTATTGTAAAGGAGACTATTGAACTAAGTAGATAGGTTTAAATATATAAAATTAAATTTTAAAACTCAAGAGGTTAAAACTAAGGTCTTAAAAAATGAAATAAAATAAAATAAATACTTAAGTGTTAGATTATGAGTGAAAATTGTATTAATAATATTATTGACACATTGAAATATGATCAATTGTAGATTAATTTTCTTTTGACACCATTCAAGCTTTGAAAAGCTTTGGAAGTGTTATAACTTGAGAGGTAACCTTTGACCTCTCAAAGGTTGAGTTAACAAGAGGAAATTTATTTTATGCATTTATATGTTAATTAATTAATTATGTTAGTAAAACAAAAGAATATATATATATATATATCTAAATTTTGAAATGATTGTTTGTAATGCATGTGGCTTTGTTGAGACTCTATGATTTATGACTAAATTAATTGTGACTTGATGTGAGTAATGAGATTAATAGTTGATGATAATATGTACACTCTTGGTTATAAATTATGGATTATGCACAGTGATGAATTGTATATGAGCATGTTGAGTTTTATATGATACCAATATGGTTTATGTGGTAATATAAAATTGATGCAAGAGGCATGATTGAAAAATGATAATTCTTGATACTTATTGAGCAAGAAAGTTAATAAGCATGTGGGATAATTATGAATTATATATATATATATATATATATGAGCTTTTGAAATGCATTTTCTCATGAGCATAATCATATGACGGGAGTTCGCCTTAGTAAAGGAGTTAGTAGTTATGCAAAATTCATATGGTACTTGGCTATTAACTAATAATCCTAGGGGTTATAGCCGCTACTTACCTTGTAAGGTACTATAGCATTATTCCTATTAAGGGATTTGACCCTATTGACCTACCTGAAGTTTTGAGTAGAGCTAGTTTTGGATATGACACCTTATAGTGTGTGATTTGGAAGAAACCGTGTTCATAAGTAAGTAAGGTAATCCTAGCCAATAGTCCCTCACGATATGATTAAGGCCTTAGATAATCTTACCACAAGGATGATCCCTTTTAATTGTTGGCCCATAGATTTCATGTCAGAGAAAATAAGGAGGGATGTAAGGAAGAGATTGATTATGCATATTATTATTATCATGCCATTTGAGTGATTGATGGCTATGTTGAGAATATGATTATAATTATAGAAATGAGAACATATAGTAATTATGCGAATAATGTATATGTGGCCATTTGTGAAAATTTTGTACTTGACTTTATTCTTGAGATTAT